CTTTTTTTCCGGGAAAAAAACTTTTGGGTGGGGAGACGCTCTGTTCTGACCAAGCAGTGAGACATACGCAGCATGACTGCAACACACACAACACACACACACACACACACACACAATCACACACGACACACACACACACACACACACACACACACCACACACACACACACACACACATGACAACACACACTGTTACACTCACTAAAAATGTCTTCACAATTTTAACGTTGTAGTAGACACTTTACCAATATCTCTGACACTTTCCACATCCATTCAATGAGTTTCATTTGGTAGCCTCTTCTTACAAAGTCGTCTGTTACAGGACATTGACCAAGACAAGCAGGGCTTAACAGCCAGCCATTCACTCAGTTAGAGACATTCACTTAACCATTGAATCACCAGTCAAGGTACATTGGGCTCACACATTAGGAGAGGCAGAGCAGTAGAGGTGTCCTGCCATGAACTCAACAGCCTGACAGCCAGACAATGAACGGGGATGAGATTCCTGCCAATTTACATTATTAACCTATATTACTTCACATTTCAGTAATGGCATTGTGGTTTGTTATAACGGTTGAGTATCCCTGTTGTTTAATTATATTGTTTGTGTGTGTGTGTGTGTGTGTGTGTGTGTGTGTGTGTGTGTGTGTGTGTGTGTGTGGTGTGTGTGTGTGTGCGTCTTCGTGTTTGTGCGCATGCGTGTGTGTGCCCGTGTGTGTGTTCAGTCGGTTAATCTACCCAGGTGCAGTGACGTTTGTTATCGCCACCCTGACTTTTCCTCCTGGATTCGGCCAGTTCATGGCTGGAGAGGTCAGAGAACATTATTGACCTGATAAGAGTTTATGTTCATGACTTTGCAGATATAGAATAACCTTTTTTAAATGCATGTATCACCTATAGGCTGATGTAAGCAACCCTGTTAACTTATAGTGTTTTGTAGTGCAGTTTTAAGGTGATACGGACAAATACATCTTTCAACACCACTGTATAACAGCTCATGCAGAGATGTATAACCTATAACCTATAACCACTGTGATAACCTATAACCACTGTGATTATTATTTGACCATGCTGATCACTATGAAAACATCTTGAAGAACGATCTAGCTTTAATGGTTCATGTACTCTTATAATCTCAACGGAACAGCAGAAGAGTATGGCCACCCTCACGAGGACTTGTTCCTCTCTAGGTTTCTTATAGGTTCTGCCTTTTCCAAGGAGTTTCCTAGCCATGTGCTTTTACATCTGCATGCTGCGTTTTTGGTGTTTTAGGCTGGGTTGCTGTATAAACACTTGTGACATCTGCTGATGTAAAAAGGGCTTTATAAATACATTTGATGATTTGATTGATTGTGATGACTGAGTGCAAATTCACTTCTTCACACTGAGAAGAGGGCTTATAAATTAATGATATCTCTCTCTCTCTCTCTCTCTCTCTCTCTCTCTCTTCTCTCTCTCTCTCTCTCTCTCTCCTCTCTCTCTCTCTCTCTCTCTCTCTCTCGCTCTCTCTCTCTCTCTCTCTCTCGTCTCTCGTTCAAGCTGCCTGCCCAGAGAGTGTATTAACTCCCTGTTTGATAACTTCACCTGGACCAAACTGTCTGCCACCGCCCTTCCCCCCGGCCTGGGGCGCTCCTCAGCCTGGCTGCACCCCAACGTCAGCGTCTTCCTCATCCTCCTCCTCTTCTTTGTCATGAAGGTACATCCTCCCTCCATCACAGAACAAAACACTTTTCTTCTCATATTTTGCTGTGGTCAGGCTGTCAAATCAAAATGAAAAGAGTTGCAACCACATTCTCTGTGAGTTGACCTTTTCATTGTTTCTTTATTAGATTCTATAAAGGTGTCACGCCCTGACTCAAGGGACTCGTATATGTTGAGTCAGGGTGTGTATGTTCTATGTTGTATATTTCTATGTTGATGTTCTAGTATGTCTATTTCTATGTTGGCCGGTGTGGTTCCCAATCAGAGGCAGCTGTCGCTCGTTGTCTCTGATTGGGGACCATACTTAGGCAGCCTTTTGGCACTAGTTAGTGGTGGGATCTTGTTCCGTGTGAGGTATGTTGTTTGTCTACCTTGGACTTCACGTTTTGTTTCATTTGTTGTTTTGTCGTGGTGTTTATTCAATATAAATAAACATGAATGCATATCACGCTGCGCCTTGGTCCTTCTCGTTCGTCAACGTTCGTGAAAGACCAAGGCGCAGCGTGATATGCATTCATGTTTATTTGTATTGAATAAACACCACGACAAAACAACAAATGAAACGAAACGTGAAGTCCAAGGTAGACAAACAACATACCTCACACGGAACAAGATCCCACCACTAACTAGTGCCAAAAGGCTGACTAAGTATGGTCCCCAATCAGAGACAACGAGCGACAGCTGCCTCTGATTGGGAACCACACCGGCCAACATAGAAATAGACATACTAGAACATCAACATAGAAATATACAACATAGAACATACACACCCTGACTCAACATATACGAGTCCCTTGAGTCAGGGCGTGACAAAAGGATTTGAATTAGATCTCTCTTTAATTCACATACCTTCTCAATGTTCTAGTTCTGGATGTCTGCTGTTTCCACGACAATGCCCATCCCATCTGGAGCCTTCATGCCAGTGTTCATACTGGGTAAGAGGCTGAGATCAGACCTGGGAATCTAAACAGGATGTATCAGACATCAGGCTTAAAACATGCCCTAAACCTGTCCTAAAGCACAACTGAGTATTCTTTCTTTCTCTCTCTCTCTCTCTCTCTCTCTCTCTCTCTCTCTCTCTCTCTCTCTCTCTCTCTCTCTCTCTCTCTCTCTCCCTTTCTCTCTCTCTCTCCCCTTTCTCTCTCGCCCCTCTCCCCCAGGGGCAGCATTTGGGCGTCTGGTAGGGGAGATCATGGCGACTCTCTTCCCAAACGGTATCCTGTTTGATGGGATAGTTTATCGCATCCTCCCTGGGGGCTATGCTGTCATTGGTGAGTGTCCTCTGAAGTCTCATCATGCCTTGCTGCTGTTGTAGGGCAGCCCAACCACAGAAGTCACTCTTCTTATCAACTGTATACAAGAATTTTCTCTGTGTTATCATAGGAATTCAACATTCTCTGTGTTGGTCTTGCCAACCCCCATTGTCACACCTCTGAGAATCAGAGGTTACATCATGTATGTCTGATATCTGATTGGAGGTTAACTTTACAGTAATACTATTGGTCAACAACTCAGGTTTTGAGTCCAATCAACTCAGATGCTTATAAAAGGTTAATTGTTATTTTTCTTATTTGTTCCTGACCTGCTGTGGTGAGATACTTACATTCTTTCTTTCTCTCTCCACCCCATGAACATTTGGGGCAAGGCCTTTCAGGCTATGGTTTCTCTCTCTCTCTCTCTCTCTCTCTCTCTCTGACCATGCTTAGAATAATGCCTTGTAATGCTTGTTAATGCCTTGTAACTTAAGCTTTATGCCTTGTATGTGAATCCATTCATTTTACAAAGTAATTAAATACACTTGTATTTAGAATCTATTCTCAGACATTTCTTCATTGCCTATTACTGTAACCATAGTCTCTTGCATATTACTAATTATATTTTTGGAGTCAGAGAAACATTTTAATAGGCCAATTGCTTAGTCTTATTACGTGTCGAATGTGATTTATTTTTTATATACACATATCAAAAATCACTGCCCACTACCCTGTCATATTACAATGATGTCATTTAACACATCTCTCCTTCTCTTTCTGCCTTGTTGTCACTCCTGATCTCTCCTTCTCTCCCTCTATACTCTCCCTTCCTTTCTCACCTCTTTCTCATCCCCCTACCTCCCTCCCTTCCTCTCTCCTTCCCCTCCCTCTCTCCTTCCCTCCCCTCCCTCCCTCCCTCCCCTCCCTCCCTCCCTCCCTCCCTCCCTCCTTCTCCCAGGTGCCGCGGCCCTGACTGGGGCAGTGACCCACACGGTGTCCACGGCTGTGATCTGTTTTGAGCTGACAGGCCAGATCTCCCACATCCTGCCCATGATGGTGGCGGTGATCCTGGCCAACATGGTGGCCCAGGGCCTGCAGCCCTCCCTCTACGACTCCATCATCCAGGTCAAGAAACTGCCATACCTCCCCGAGCTCAGCCTCGGACACGTCAGGTACTGGAACGGACGCCATTATGGCTCAAACAGGTCTAGTTTACATAAAACCTTGTGTGCCATTAAGACTCAAACAAGCACAGTTCACATATAGCCTCTCTCCTCCCTCAGTAAGTACAACATCTTTGTGGAGGACATGATGGTGCGGAAGGTGAACTTCCTGTCCTCCCAGTCGACCTATCGGGAGCTGGGCTATCTGCTAGACTCCACCTCCCTCAAAACCATCCCTCTGGTCGACTCCAAAGGTGAGACTTGTTCTAGAATGTTTGATACCATGCACCACAGATGACACAAATCCATCCACTGAAATCTCTCTCTTGTCCTCTCTCTCTCTCTCTTTCTTGCTCTCTCTTTCTCTCTCTCTTTCTCTCTCTCTTTCTCTCTCTCTCTACTCTCGCTCTCCTTCCCCCTTCCCCCTGTCTTTTCCTCAGAGTCTATGATCCTATTGGGGTCTATCGAGAGGACAGAGCTGCAGGCCATCTCTGATTGGTGGCTGTCGGCCGAGAGGCGTGTCTTTGAGAGGGGTCAGGGGTCACCGGGTCAGGGCTGGGAGTCCTTCACTTTCATAGACGAGGAGGGAGGAGAGGTGACAGGATGGAAGGATGGATGGCTGGATAGATGGAATGATTGAACGATAGCGTCATAAATATCAGTGTACTTATAATGCCTTTATAAACACATTTATAATGCATTATAATTATGCACAACATCATGTAATACTTGGTTATGAACTTGGTTATCTGTGGTGTTTAGTAAAGCCCTTTTGTCTGTTCTCCAGACCTCTCCTGTACAAGATGAACAGAACGGGCCCCTCCCATCCCCTAAACCACAGGAGCCCTCCACCAATCACACCGGCTCAGGTGACATGACATCACACAGAATGTCAAAATATGACATAGAATTGGGATGTACTCACTGTTGCTATTTTGTTACTAGTGCATCCATGTTTGTATTTGTATTTATTAAGGATCCCCATTAGCTGCTGCCTTGGCAGCAGCTACTCTTCCTGGGGTCCAGCAACATTAAGGCAGTTATATACAATTTTAAATATTACATTCATAACACTTTTCACAACACATTAAGTGTGTCCCCTTAGGCCACTACTCTACAACCACATACTGTATCTGCAATACAAAATCCATGTGTACGTGTGTGTAGAGTGTTGGTTTGTTGGTTTGCTGTTTGCGATTCAAAATGTTATAAGCAATCAACACAGCAGAATCATAATTAGACCTACTGTTCTATCGATTGCTCATGGGGTTTGTTTAAAACAATTAACCACCACATTCTGTAGAAAAAATAATTGTTGGAGTGAGAATGTTTACCCAATTTACTCACTTCTAAATGTCTGTCCTGTCCTGTCTTTTCAGAGAAGCGTTCCCTCCAGTCTGTGAGGAGAACATTTCAGCGCCTCTTCTCCTCTTCTTCAACCAGCCAGGCTGAAGCTCAGGTATCATTCCATATCAAGATAGAGGTTGGCCGTAACCACTGATACAGGGTCAGATATATTAGGAGATGTTTTTCATTCCCATAATGCTTGAGGTTTGGATTGGGGTTAGGGCAACCTGATCCTGGATCTGTGTGGTTAAGGCCAACATCAACCTCAAGCTTTCCTCTGGTAACTCATAGAGGAGCAATATCACATTCTGTCCACTAGGGGACACAATCTCACGTCAATTGTGTGACCTTGCTATAATGTATGATGTGATATGTGATGAGCAGTTTAGTCATTCTGTGTGATAGAGAAATAGCACCACCAGGGGGCATCTGATCTGACACTTTGTAAACCTGGAGGGTGAAAATAACTAAAATCTCTAAACCACCACCCCTCCACCCCTCCTCTCTCTGTCTCATACTCCCTCTTTTCTCACTCTCTCTCTTTCTCTCTCTTTCTCTCGCTCTCCCTCTCTCTCTCTTCCTCTCTCCAGGAATCCACCCCACCTCCACTCACCGACACCATGTCCTCAGAGGAGGTAATGTGTCTCACTGACCCCTAACCCCTAACCCCTGATCCCTGACCTCTACTCCCTTACCTGGGCACTTCATGTAGCTCTAAAAGGATTCCACGAGTAGAATCAAATATCATAAATTATTACACCCTCTTTATATTGTCAATCACCCTCTCTGCTCTCTGATTGGCTAATGCAGATCAAAGCCTGGGAAGAAGAAGAGTTGGATAAGCCAATCAGTATGGAGGAGATACGGATTGATCCCTCCCCCTTTCAGCTGGTGGAGAGAACCTCCCTACACAAGGTATAACTGTAGCTATCACCTTGTGCTCTTATGTAGCCACTTTAAGCCATTATAAACACTACATGCTGTAGGATATTGACAAATATGCCCCCCCCCCCCCCTCTCTCTTTTGCAGACCCACACTCTGTTCTCCTTGCTGGGTCTCAGTCATGCCTATGTTACCAGCATTGGGAAACTGGTGGGCGTCGTAGCACTGAAGGAGGTGAGATCACACATCACACCAGCTCTCTCTCTCTCGCTCTCTCTCTCCATTTCTCTCTCTCTCTCCATGTCTCTCTCTCTCTCTCCATTTCTCTCTCTCTCTCCCCCTCGCTCTCTCTCTCTCTCTCTCTCCCTCTGTCTCTCTGTCTGTGTGCCGAGTCTTCCTTTTCTACAGTGTAGAAGCATCAGACACACAGCTTGTCCGTTTGTTCTGCCTCTCTGTCATCGTTCTCTGATGATGATCTCACAGTGTCACAGTAATTACATTGGCAAGATTAGCAAACTGAGGCATGCCATGCCATGCCAACAGCAAACTCTGAACCTACACATCCATGCACAACTGACCAAATTATGAAAGACAAGCGTTGTAATTTTTTATTCCATAAAGTGAGTGTGGAAGAGGTGAATTTTTTGTTGTTGTCTATCAACAATGACAAACCACCTGGGACTGACAACTTTGATGGAAAATTACTAAGGATGAAATCGGACTACATTGCCACTCCTATTTGCCATCTCTTCAATCTAAGCCTACAGGAAAGTGTGTGCCCTCAGGCCTGGAGGGAAGCAAAAGTCATTCCACTACCCAAGAATAGAAAAGCACCCTTTACTGGTTCAAACAGCCGACCAATCAGCCTGCTACCAACCCTTAGTAAAAGTTTGAAAAACATTTTTGACCAGATACAATGCTCTTTCACAGTAAACAAATTGCTTTCAGCACGCTTATAGGGAAGGGCACTCAACATGTATGGCACTTACACAAATGACTGATGATTGGCTGAAAGAAATTGATACTAAGAAGATTGTGGGAGCTGTTTTGTTAGACTTCAGTGCAGCTTTTGACATTATTGATCATAATCTGCTGCTGAAAAAACGTTTGTGTTATGGCTTTACATCCTCTGCTATATTGTGGATCGAGAGTTACAGTGCCGTGAAAAAGTATTTTCCCCCTTTCTAATTTTCTTTATTTTTGCATATTTTTTATACTGCATGTTATCAGATCTTCAACCGAAACCTAATATTAGATAAAGGGAACCTGAGTTTACAAATTACAAAAAAATTTATACTTTTTTTTATGCCTGGCGAAAACCAAAAACTGCATTCCACAGTAAGAACCTCATACCAACGGTCAAGCATGGTGGTGGTAGTGTGATGCTTTGGGGATGCTTTTGCTGACCTGGAAGACTTGCCTTAATAGAAGGAACCATGAATTCTGCTCTGTAATGTCAGGCCATCCATCTGTGAGCTGAAGCTGGAGCGCAGCTGGGTCATGCAGCAAGACAATGATCCAAAACACACAATCATGTCTACTTGAAAATGGCTAAAAATAAACAAATTTTAGGTTTTGAAATGGCCTAGTCAAAGTCTAGACTTAATCCCAACTGAGATGTTGTGGCAGGACTTGAAACAAGCAGTTCATGCTTGAAAACCCACAAATATCGCTGAGTTACAGCAGTTCTGCATGGAAGAGTGGGCCAAAATTCCTCCACAGCGACGTGAGAGACTGATCAACAACTACAGGAAGGGTTTGGTTGGAGTTATTGCAGCTAAAGTTGGCACAACCAGTTATTGAGTGTAAGGGGACAATCACTTTTTCACACAGGGGCATTGGGTGTTGCATAACTTTGCTTATGAAATAAATGAAATAAGTATGTAATTGTTGTGTTATTTGTTCACTCAGGTTCCCTTGATCTAATGTTAGGTTTTGGTTGAAGATCTGATAACATTCAGTATCAAAAATATACAAAAGTAGAGAAAAGGGGGCAAATACTTTTTCATGGCACTGTACCTGTCTAAGACAAAACAGAGGGTGTTCTTTAATGGAAGCCTCTCCAAAAGAATCCAGGTAGAGTCGGGCATTCCCCAAGGCAGCTGTCTAGGCTCCTTACTTGCAGTTCGTTTCAGAATGTGTGGCAAGGGATAAATTAGTCCTAAATATTACAAAAACTAAAAGCATTGTATTTGGGACAAATCATTCACTAAACCCTAAACCTCAACTAAATCTTGTAATAAATCATGTGGAAATTGAGCAAGTTGAAGTGACTAAACTGCTTGGAGTAACCCTGGATTGTAAACTGTCATGGTCAAAACATATTGATGCAACAGTAGCTAAGATGGGGAGAAGTCTGTCAATAATAAAGCACTGCTCTACCTTCTTAAAAGCACTATCAACAAGGCAGGTCCTACTGGCTCTAGTTTTGTCGCACCTGGACTACTGTTCAGCCGTGTGGTCAGGTGCCACAAAGAGGGACTTAGCACGGCTGGCCCTTGGATGTACACAGAGAACAAACATTAATAATATGCATGTCAATCTCTCCTGGCTCAAAGTGGAGGAGAGATTGACTTCATCACTATTTGTATTTGTGAGAGGTATTGACATGTTGAAAGCACCGAGCTGTCTGTTTGAACTACTAGCGCACAGCTCAGACACCCATGCATACCCCACAAGACATGCCACCAGAGGTCTCTTCACAGTCCCCAAGTCCGGAACAGACTATGGGAGGCGCACAGTACTACATAAAGCCATGACTACATGGAGCTCTATTCCACATCAGGTAACTGATTTAAAAAACGGATCAAAATACACCTTATGGAACAGCGGGGACTGTGAAGCAACACAAACATAGGCACCGACCAATGCATACACAAACATGATAACATACGCACTATACACACACATACACATGGATTTTGTGTTGAAGATACAGTGAGGGAAAAAAGTATTTGATCCCCTGCTGATTTTGTACATTTGCCCACTGACAAAGAAATGATCAGTCTATAATGTCAAAAATGTTATAAATTGATTTGCATTTTAATGAGGGAAATAAGTATTTGACCCCCTCTCAATCAGAAAGATTTCTGGCTCCCAGGTGTCTTTTATACAGGTAACGAGCTGAGATTAGGAGTGAGAAGGGAGTGCTCCTAATCTCAGCTTGTTACCTGTATAAAAGACACCTGTCCACAGAAGCAATCAATCAATCAGATTCCAAACTCTCCACCATGGCCAAGACCAAAGAGCTCTCCAAGGATGTCAGGGACAAGATTGGCTGGAATGGGCTACAAGACCATCGGCAAGCAGCTTGGTGAAAAGGTGACAACAGTTGGTGCGATTATTCGCAAATGGAAGAAACACAAAATAACTGTCTATCTCCCTCGGCCTGGGGCTCCATGCAAGATCTCACCTCGTGGATTTGCAATGATCATGAGAACGGTGAAGAATCAGCCCAGAACTACACAGGAGGATCTTGTCTATGATCTCAAGGCAGCTGGGACCATAGTCACCAAGAAAACAATTGGTAACACACTATGCCGTGAAGGACTGAAATCCTGCAGTGCCCGCAAGGTCCCCCTGCTCAAGAAAGCACATATACAGGCCCGTCTGAAGTTTGCCAATTAACATCTGAATGATTCAGAGGAGAACTGGGTGAAAGTGTTGTGGTCAGATGAGACCAAAATGGAGCTCTTTGGCATCAACTCAACTCGCCGTGTTTGGAGGAGAAGGAATGCTGGCTATGACCCCAAGAACATTATCCCCACCGTCAAACATGGAGGTGGAAACATTATGCTTTGGGGGGTTCTTCTGCTAAGGGGACAGGACAACTTCACCGCACCAAAGGGACAATGAACGGGCCATGTACCATCAAATCTTGGGGTGAGAACCTCCTTCCCTCTGCCAGGGCATTGAAAATGGGTCGTGGATGGGTATTCCAGCATGACAATGACCCAAAACACACGGCCAAGGCAACAAAGGAGTGGCTCAAGAAGAGGCACATTAAGGTCCTGGAGTGGCCTAGCCAGTCTCCAGACCTTAATCCCATAGAAAATCTGTGGAGGGAGCTGAAGGATCGAGTTGCCAAACGTCAGCCTCGAAACCTTAATGACTTGGAGAAGATCTGCAAAGAGGAGTGGGACAAAATCCCTCCTGAGATGTGTGCAAACCTGGTGGCCAACTACAATAAACGTCTGACCTCTGTGATTGCCAACAAGGGTTTTGCCACCAAGTACTAAGTCATGTTTTGCAGAGGGGTCAAATACTTATTTCCCTCATTAAAATGCAAATCAATTTATAACATTTTTGACATGCGTTTTTCTGGATTTTTTTGTTGTTATTCTGTCTCTCACTGTTCAAATAAACCTACCATTAAAATTATAGACTGATCATGTCTTTGTCAGTGGGCAAACGTACAAAATCAGCAGGGGATCAAATACTTTTTTCCCTCACTGTATGTGGTAGTGGAGTAGTGGCCTGAGGGCACATACTTCGTGTACTGTGAAATCTGTTATGAATGTATTGTCATGTTTTTAAAATGGTATAACTGCCTTAATTTTGCCGGACCTCAGGAAGAGTAGCTGCTGCCTTGGCAGGAACTAATGGGGATCCATAATAAATACACATACAAATACATGGAGCCTGTTCAGTTGGCTGTTACTCTGCTGTTCTGTTGTACTCGTATAGTGAGTCATACTGTTACAGCATCAACTGTGTTCGTCTCTGACTTATCACAGCGTCACAGTAAACCTGTATTAACATGCTTTGCCTGTGTTATAGCATGCTATGTTAACCACTTCTATTTGCTCTCTTTCTCTCTTTCCCTTCCTCTCTCACTCTCGATCTCTATTTCCCTCCCCTCTTTCTTTATCTCTCGCTCGCTCTCCCCCCTTCTCCCTTTCTCTTCTTCCCCTCTATATTTATCTCTCCCCTTTAATCTTTCCCTCGCTCTCCCTCTCTCTTACCTCTCACAGTTGCAGAAGGCCATCGAGGGCTCCACCCGTAGTGGGGTGAGATTGCGCCCCCCTCTAGCCAGTTTCAGAGATGTCAACCGTAAAGCCAAGAAGCACGCGGCTTCCCCCTCCACCCCCTCCTCCCCCACCAGGGAGAGGGAGCTGTGGGGTGAGGGGGGGAAGATGGAGGGCGGGGGTAGTAGGAAGGAGGAGGGCGAGGGCGAGGGGTTTAGGTGGGAGGTTAAGGAAGGAAAGAGGGAGGGAGATGGAGGAAAGAGGGAGGGAGAGGTGGTTAGGACAGAGGGAGAGGGTGACATGAATGAGGCTCAGGAGGAACCCAGGGGGAACGCAAGAGGAGCAGGTGGCTCCAGTGCAGGTACAGAGTGTGATACCTCCACCCCCAGGAGCGTGAGGAGCAACAACAGCCGAGGGACACACTGTCCCCCTCAGGAGCCTTCCTCCCCCGCCTCCCCCACCTCACCACCCTCCTCCTCCACTCGTGTCTTCATTGTGTCATCCCTTCCTACTGTGCCAGAGACGGATGGAGAGAGGGAGAGAGAAGATTCTGAAGAGCCGATTTAGATGGCGACAGGGAATTCTGTGGATTCTGTTTCTTAAATGAAGACTTTCTCCTCTCTGGCCTCACTTCACTTACCTCATTCAGTGGTGAGTGAATCAAGTGAGAGCGTATCAAGGAGCATCCTGGGTAATGGAGTTCTGTGCGGGCTCGTTCGAGGCTCTGCAGATGTTCAGTTTACGGAGAGCAGGAAGAACAGGTGCACACAATGCTTCTGGGACTTGTAGTTTTGGAATGTCTGGTAGCTAATAATACTTTTTGTAAGATGGTAGTCTCTTTCCTTATTTTGCTGTGGATCTCAGCAGTTTTTGAAGGATGTTTTTCTACTCTTAAGACAGACAGCCTACTCTTTTTCACTATTTCAGTTTCTCAGGTCTCTCTCCGTGTCTTTAAAACTACAGAAATTGACAGATGTTCTTCGTTCTTCATATCACAGATCTGTGCCTGTCATGGTTTGTCTCCTTGTCCCGGTATTGTTGAGTGTATGAATGTATCTGTTTGTAGCTACATGGTACTGTAGGTCTGTATCACTGTTGGTGAATTCTGTGTATCTTTATGACACTGAATATGACAGCAATGAAATCACATCATTAATCGTGACTCAATGTCTGTCAATGGACTGATTTACAGTGCCTTTGGAAAGTATTCAGACCCCTTGACTTTTTCCACATTTTGTTAACGTTGCAGCCTTATTCTAAAATTAACTAAATTGTTTTTTTCCTCCCCTCATCAATCATCACACAATACCCCATAATGACAAAGCAAAAACTGGTTTTTAGAAATGTTTGTAAATTTAGCTACAAGCTTGGCACACCTGTATTTGGGGAGTTTCTCCCATTCTTCTCTGCAGATCCTCACAAGCTCTGTCAGGTTGGATGGGGAGCGTTGCTGCACAGCTATTTTCAGGTCTCTCCAAAGATGTTTGATCGGGTTCAAGTCCGGGCTCTGGCTGGGCTACTCAAGGACATTCAGAAACTTGTCCCAAAGCCACTCCTGCGTTGTCTTGGCTGTGTGCTTAGGGTCGTTGTCCTGTTGGAAGGTGAACCTTCACCCCAGTCTGAGGTCCTGAGCGCTCTGGAGTAGGTTTTCATCAAGGATCTCTCTGTACTTTGCTCCGTTCATCTTTGCCTCAATCCTGACTAGTCTCCCAGTCCCTGCCGCTGAAAAACCTTCCCACAGCATGATGCTGCCACCACCATGCTTCACCATAGGGATGGTGCCAGTTTTCCTCCAGACGTGACGCTTGGCATTCAGGCCAAAGAGTTCAATCTTGGTTTCATCAGACCAGAGAATCTTGTTTCTCATGGTCTGAGAGTCTTTAGGTGCCTTTTGGCAAACTCCAAATGGGCTGTCATGTGCCTTTTACTGAGGAGTGGCTTCCGTTTGGCCACTCTACCATAAAGGCCTGATTAATGGAGTGCTGCAGAGATGGTTGTCCTTTTGGAAGGTTCTGTCTCGGAGCTCTACGGACAATTCCTTCGACCTCATGGCTTGGTTTTTACTCTGACATGCACTGTCACCTGTGGGACCTTATATAGACAGGTGTGTGCCTTTCCAAATCATGTCCAATCAAGTTGTAGAAACATCTCAAGGATGATCAATGGAAACAGGATGCACCTGAGCTCAATTTCGAGTCTCATAGCAAAGGGTCTGAATACTTATGTAAATAAAGTATTTCTGTTTTTTATTTTTTATAGATTTGCAAACATTTCTAAAAACCTGTTTTCGCTTTGTCAATATGGGGTATTGTGTGTAGATTGCTGAGGATTTTTATTTTATTTAATCAATTTTAGAATACGGCTGTAACTTAACAAAATGTGGAAAAAGTCAAGGGGTCTGAATACTGTATATTTGATCAGAGCGATTTAACGTTTACTGATTAATGAATATACAGGCTTAAGATTATTATTGTAACCACTGTAAAGTAAATATTGAAATTGTTCATACCGATGCCAATCTACTATTCTTATGGAATACAATACATATTAAAATGTTTTCAGTAACATTTCATTGGACATGTTTTCAGTAACATTTCATTGGACTGATTATTGCTGGAGCACGGTAATAATCAGTTCCAGCATAATACCAGAGATGGACTGTTCCCTCCAGTCTCGTAAAAGTTTGTCTTTAAAAAGGCTGTGGACGTATAAACAATTCCAGCTGAGAAGGTCAACAGTGTATTTTAGTCTCCGCCGCGCACACACACACACACACACACACACATACACACACACACACACACACACACACACACACACACACAGGTTCCTGTGTGAATAGCAGAGAGGAGCCAGAAGAAACATGTCTCTGGGAATTTGTTTGACGTTGCAATTCTCCTGACATCATAATGGCTGACAACGGCAGACAGACAGGGAGTTTAACTGTAGGCTTCAACCATAGTTGCCAGTCCCCTGCAGGACGGTTTCTGTGATTGTCATGTTTGGTATGGCTTTGACAAAGAAGTTGGCTGAACAAGAAACAGAACTGTCTACCTTTAATGAATCCCTGATGTATCAGCAAGTTATCTACACTACCATACATTATGGAAGGCAGGAAGGATGGATGCATTGTCATGTATTCAGGATGAAAGACACCTAGAATATGTGTTTGGGGTTGATAGGGAGGGAATGGAATCATGATAGAAAAACTGCGTCTCCGTGTTCACTGACCATAAAGAAAAACACGCTTTTGTTCCTCATCCTCACAACATAAAAAACTATGTCTGTTCTCAAAGACGTCCACACACGTACACATCAGGATTCTCTTTGTGTGTTTATTTGCTGTTTCTCCACTGTATTTATTTTTATTTGGAGAGAGGGGGAGGAGGGGGGAGAATAAAGAGAGAGGAGCAGAGGAGAAAGGGATGGAAGAGGGTGATCGCTCGTGCGGGGAAAAGAGAGAGTGGGAGGAAGAGAGAAAGAAAGAGGTTTACGGCCGAGGAGGAAGGGGGGGAGATCACGTGGAAGACCCATCCCGTCACAACCTTCCCATAAGCATGCATAGGTATGGGCTTTAATACACTGGTATTACCAGTTTACATTGATCATCTCAAATTAAAACATTCAATCAAGCCAATTGTATACAAGTGTATTTACCTCAGGGTTCTGTCCCACACAGTTCCAACTGACCACATCATTTTGTTGAAAAGTCTGTTTACCTCAAATCCACCTTTGGTCAATCTGTCAGATATTTTAAGCAATGTTTTCAGGCAGTGATACTTCCAACTACAAAACAGACAACTACATGGACAGACAGACTCGGACGGACAGAGACACAAATATACAGAACAGGTACAAAGAGAGAGAGAGAGGTGTAGAAAGGCAAAATACTGCCTCCAGACAAGTTACGTATTGAAAGATGGCAGTAGAATCATACATAATAAGAAATCAACTGGAAATCAATCAGTCAATCAATCAACAGAGACAATCAATAAACAGGAACATCCAAGGAAATACATTTGGCTTCTTGTTATTAGTTTATTCATTCAGTAAGTTCTTAATCGTCAAAAAATCTATAAAACATCTTAATTGAAGTAGTATCATTCTCTGGGTCCATGTTTGTGTTTTCAATTAATCAGAACAATCTCTCTGGGGTCAAAGGTATAACACTACAGAAAGCCCAAGGACAACACACAGAACAATACTGCTTCAAAAAGACTTACCTACAATAAATAATAAACTATGTACAGGCTGTCATGTTATTCCTCCCCCCAAATAATAATTAAATAAATGAATGAATAAGAGTGGTTGGGTAAAGACATCCTTAAGGTTGTAGCTCTCAGAGCCAGTCTGAGATAGACAGGTGAAGGCTAATGTATAACACAAACTCAAATACACCACAAGGTAGCAGCTCACCAAAACAATCTGTTCTAAGTAGGGGCGCTGGGTCTCTCCTGGTCAGGTCACGTGGTCAGGATAGACCCCTAGCCCTGGTTAGTTCTAACACCAATATACAACTTGTCTTGCAGACGCATGTCATACGTGTTCATGACAGCTGATGGACACTTGTGACTAGTAGCCTAAAGGAAGTTGTATGGTTGAGATTGTGTTGTCATTGCCTGGGTGATCATGGCAGCAGTGACACGAATCTTCATGACTGGTTATGACTATGTAAATGCCATCATTGTGTGCTTCGTGATGGGCAGCTTCAGGGAAGAGGTGGGTAACCTTAACCCTAACCCTTGTCCTGGAGGGATGCAGTCAGTGTGTGCAGGTTTTTGTTCCAGCCCAGCTTTAACACAACTGATTACAATTAATTGTGGCCATTGAAGATTGTATTAGTGCTGGGCTGGAAGAAAACCCTGCACACAAACACAATGTAGCCGCCCAGAAGTTTCCACCCCTGCCCTAGGGTATTATTATCACTGTCTGTTTGCCCAATCAGAAAGAGCCCCAACCAACACAAAACTGCTTTACATCAACCACACATATTCTATCTTATACTGGAGGGGGTGTCAATAATTCAGTAGAAAAATAACAATTGTCCCAACATTGCAAAAATAATCGATCAATAAATTAATTAATTCAAGTCAATCAACCTTTTCATCTTAAAAGTTTTTTCACACAATCATCAGAGTGAAAGGAGAAGGTTGTTCTCTGTCAAATAATAATAATAATAATAATCGTGATTGTTTATGTTTTTATTAGTGATGCGTGCACAGATATTCCAGACCAGTATATCCAGAGCAAATTCCACTATTCTATCATGTCTCCGAACTTCACTACCATTCCTCCATTGGGATACACACATTCCTCTTCGGGAAATACACACGCTAACTCAAACATCATGTAGAGTTTTGCTCCATCACTGTAGTCACCATGAGTAGGAAGATACCGGTTCTGTTTGGTTCTAGTGTTTGGTTCTAGTATTCAGTTCTATTGCCTGATTGACTTCAATGTTCTCCTTGGACCCAGTCAAATTAGGTCCTTTGCATTATTTTACAACAATATTCCGATATCCAATATTTCAATGATCACACTATTTACAATGTTGACATTCCACTATCCTTTTCCTTTTACTTGTGTGGTGATAGAAACAAATCTAAACGCAATAAGCTTCATTTGGGAGCTCATGAAGATTCCCAAAAGAAAGAGCTGGGACTGAGACTTGTAGAAAAATAAAGAAACTGTTGCAGTCGTGGCTGTGAGAGAGGTGGTTCATATACTCTCTCATTAGTATTTACATCTGTACGACAGTAGTGGCCACAAGCCATTTAGGAGACCTGTGTTTGGCTCCACAGTAATTAGTTACAATTTTGAAGATGTGTTTTTGCTCTTTTAAGAATCAGTACCCAATTCAAACAGCTCTAACTTACACCTTTGAGAGAAACATTTTCTCATCTTTTCTCCACAAAGAAAAGCTTGGTATTGTCCCCAAGAGCTGACATCAAAACAACAATCTGAGTTAAAACAAATCACATCTCAATCTAAATCCTGTTTCTGTTGGTACTAAAACACTCCAAAGCACTCCCTCTTCCTCCAGCGATCTCTAGTTTGGAACATGGAACAACAGCTCAGAATCCATTTCGTCTAGTGGTTTTGTTTTGGTTCTTGGTGATGCTAAGAGCTCTTTCTGAACAGTAATCAAGGACATTGACGTGTGACAGAGTCCAAAGGCAGTCTCTGATCTGTTGGATTGCATCAGTGCAAAGAGATTCACTACTACAGCTTTGTCTCTTCACCATTCACTCCATGACACGGACCTGTCAGTCAAGATGCACAGTCAAGCAGACTACCAGGAGCCCCATGCCCTTAGCCCTCTCTGGCCCAGCACCAGCCCAGTGTCCTAGGTTCAGTGCAAAGTCTATACAGTTCAATATAGGACAGGTAGTCCATACTACTCTGAAGAAACATACGGAAAGACAGAGTAGGAAGCACACTATCTTACTGTACAGTACAATCCTTGAACTGTGCAGTGCTGTGTGTGCAGCCGACAGGTGAGGCCTGCAGCCTTTATGTGCCTTGGACATCTGGAGAACACAGCAACATAGTAACATTGTGTCTTTCTAACTGTGTTAGGAGGGTTAAAGTAGATTTCACTGCAGTGGTTAGGTTGCAGAGACCCAATTTGGATTTAATTGGTTTTTGGGGATAATCGAATAGGTGTAATTTTAAGGGGGTTATGATGAACCCAACCTACTAAAGTTGTTCTGTATTCGTGCAGTTAGTTCTATAAGTGTTGTGGATGCCAGATGTGAACGACATAAGAGGAGAGGGTATACCATGTGAGTGTTGCTGTTCTTCAAGTTATGGGGTTGAAAATATTATATTTGATGTGTTGAGTGTAAGCTGTAAACAGAGTAGCTCTTCCATGGAGAGATATTGTTGTAAAAACCGTGATTTTGATATATATTATTTTATCATACACTTATACATAGATTTTTGTGTTGTCATGATTTTTTGCTTTGTTAGAAAATCATTGTGGTCATTATAATGTTTTCTAACTATAGATGTTATTATCATTATCATATTTGACGCTGGACCGGATCAAGTTGTTTGTTTAAAAAGCATGCATGTTTCAATTCCCTCCTCCTCGGTTTCCTTTCCCTGATGTCTGTATCTCAGCTGCTCCTCTTTTGATTATCCCCTCATACCTCCTTTTCCTCACTCAGTCTCTTTTCCCTCCCTCTACTCCTCCCTCCTCCTTCTCTCGGGGATGTAAGGCTTCCAAAAAAAAGGTTATCCGTTGGACCAGCTGTTGTCACTGTATAAGTCAGTTTCCAAATATTCCTCCTCTTCAGTGGTCACAAGAGTTTATATCCCATCAAAAATGTGTTTGATACCTGAAAAGGAACAGATTTATTGATAAATATTTCATTATTAGGATCAGTCATTCCTGACGCCTGTCACGTCTCTCAGGACGATCTGTCAATCAGTTGGTTGCCATGGCAGCAACAGCAGACCCCTGCTTCTCATCCTTCTCCTCCAGCATCTGGATGCCTCCACAGCTGACATCAGAGGCCTTCCGCTCTGTGATTTGTTGTGCTGGTGGTTGCCCCGGACTACTGCGCCCTGGACTACTGCGCCCCGGACTACGTTGACCCGGACTACTGCCCCCGGAGGCGATGGCTTCGTCTCGCTGTGTGGGCTGGGTTAGAGTGGCAGACTCCGGCTCCATGCACAGTGTCACCTCCTCGTCCTGTTCAGGGGACAGAGCAGGGGGCTTGGTCAGGGGGTGACACATACAGAACATTCAGATAGAAATGTTAAGAATATAACAGATACTGCATGATTCTCTAACCACAGAGAGGAGAAAGCATGGGTTTATTCATGAGTTCAGATAGAAATGTCTCCCTGTCATTTATTAAAGCGTCAAGGATGTACCTCTCTGCACTGATATGAACTCAGGGCCCAGTTTTTCAAAAAATCATCTATCTGGATTCCGCCTATCGGATAGGATTAAATGCATAGAAATATAATTAATAGAATGGACGAATCATTGTCTTGAATGGGGACTCCCATTCTATTCATTTTATTTCTATGCATTTAATCAATCCTATCCGATAGGCAAATTCCAGATAATTTTTGAAAAACTAGGCCCTGATGACCCTGTGACCTGATATGACCTCACCTTCAGCTCCTCCTCCTCCTGCTGCTCCAGCAGAGGGGAGTGTTCTGTCCCCGCCCCCTCGTCCCCAGACGGAACACTCAGAGCCGCCTCCACCACCGCTGCCACGCCTATGTTGTACCCTCCAATATCCGCGTGATAGGACTCCGTCTGCCCCGCCCCCCACAGGTCCACCAATGGGGCGTGGGTGGCAGGGGCCAGGCTGTGGATGGTGCTGTTGGGTGTGGCTTGCAACGAGTGGTTGGCGCTGTGCAGCCTTTGCTCCAGAGACTGTGGAGAGAAGGACGAGACAATGAGGAGCCGTATGTAGATAGAGGTTCCCTCTAACCACTGATACAGGATCAGATATTTGTTTATCCCCCCTAATGGTAAAGACTCTGGAAATATGATCCTAAATCTGTGGTTAAGGGATGTTTCTTCCTTTAAGCATAATGTTGGATTGAAAGGGACAGGGTAATTGTGTTGTACTAAGAAGAGAGATACAATAATGTAGTGCTGAATCTCTGACGACATTACCATATCAAAGGCCGAATTCAGTATTCTTGTCTCGATCAAAATACCCCAGAGAAAAAGGAGAAAACCCCATTAAAAATCTAAATGTCAGACGCCTGACTACGCCATGAATGAATATTGCCTATCTATGGAAATGGATTGTTATTGCTTTCCTCTCATATTAGACTGTTGTTTTTCCTCACCTGTTGTTGCTGATACAGGAGCTGCTGTTGCTGGTAGTGCTGTATCTGTTGCAGCTGCTGCAGCTGCTGGAGCTGACTCTGCTGCTGTAGGTTGAACTGCTGCTGCTGTTGCTGCTGCAGCAACGCGTTCCCATCATACCCATCACAGGAAGTCCCGCCCTGCTGCATCACATAGGAGCCAGCAGCAGGAGAGGCCACTCCGGAGGGCTCGTTGCTGATTGGCTCCCAGGCGTCGGAGGAGGAGAGGCAGTAGAGACCCTGGGCGACATAGGTGTTGGGCCACATGTCTGCAGAGGAGTGGTGCAATATCTGGTCTGAGAGGATGAAAAGAATGAGAAAATAGAAGAGTGAAGAGGTGGGATAAGCGGTTGGTTGTCCTTGACGGATGCACTACATTGGACCTCATGGGACCTACATTGGACCTCACATCAAACTGCTAAAGAATTTACAATTCTGACATCAGCCTTTTTTCAGAAAGAGGAAACCCTCGAGAGGAATCATGTGATATCCCTGAGGGACACTCCAACCCTCTCAGACCCAAATGTATCCTTGAGCTAATGACTTTACTTGAACAATCCCCAGACAGACCCCAAGTGTAGCTACACCGAGTAGGCTAATATATCAGCATTATGACTGTATAGCCATTGGGGAGTCTGTCTGCCCTGCATTAAAATGACATATCATTCAGCCAATAACATGGCTGATATGAATAAGGGTGAGTCGTGGTAGTTTTTGCCATCTCAAATTCCAATCTGTTTTTTTTTACGGATGAACAAGGCGACTAATATCCCCCACTGACTGATAACAACATTAAAACTTTTGAGGTATTGCGGCCATTTTGTGCGAAGGAGGAAAATAAATGGGGGAATATATCAGTTTGTGTGTTGCCAATGCTATGGCTCGCCGTTATATATAAAAAGGCTGTCAAACACAAAATAATTAGGTAAATCACACTTATTCGTAGACACGTCTTTGGGACATTGTCCTAACAAGTTTCAGATAGCTGAATGGTGTATATATGATCTGCCAAAAGCGCTTCAAGGTGTGCTGAGTTGATATGTTGGTGCAAAGAGTCAGCGAGCATCATGCCGGCAACCTTACATTACATCACTTTAATGATGACTCAAAACTGTGTAAAAATACATCCAGCGACATCCAAATCGTTTGACACTAACATTCTACGGTTATATGACTTCAGGCAATATAATGACATTAAATAACTGAAGTTGTGATTAAACTAATGATCATCACACAGTCTTGAGGCCATTTGTTATCTCACAATAACAAACCACAGGGAGAAAACCACATTATGATTTCAACACGTCTCCATGTCTGAACGCCTCTTTGCATGAGAAGGAGAAATACAGGAGCACTGTAACGGACAACACAGTGATGTGGAATAATAATGGCCAAGTGTACTATTTATACATTTGAAATCCCTGGTCTTGCATTCCCCCAGGCTGTGTTTGCGAACCTGAAATGAGTACAGAGTTAACCCTCCAGGCTGAGATGGAATAAGATGCCTTTGTTACTGAGCAAAATGACGCATATTACAGCCCACACACTACACTCCAGCTTTGCCTGATCTCAAGCCTATGCAAAAACGTGTTTGGCTGCAAATTTTAGACAAGGTTCCACAGTGCAGGATCCTATTTAGCTCCTTAAACTATCCCTTAAACTTTTTTGCCCTAGTTGATTGGTGCTACTGTAGTTTGTCAAGGTAGTCCCTTACCTCGACTGACTAATGCTCATTTAGAGGTCATATTTGTAGTCCCTTACCTCGGCAGATACATGCTTGTTTAGAGGTCATATTTGTAGTCTCTTATCTCGGCTGATACATGCTGGTTTAAAGGCCATATTTGTAGTCCCTTATCTCGGCTGATACATGCTGGTTTAGAGGCCATATTTGTAGTCCCTTACCTCGGCTGGTGATGCTCTCCTGGTTGACTTCGCTAAGGTGGGCCACACTGCCCTGGTTGGACCCTGACCTCAGGCTCTCTCCATCCATGGAGGTCCAGGCCATGAGCGTTGCCTGGGAGATGGCAAACTGCTGCAGGATACCTGGAGTTCAGAGGGTAAGTCACAGTCATTGTAACGGCTCAGTTGGCTGGTGCTTTCCTATGGCTATTTATAGAAAGATGTAATATCCAGCCTATTTAATATCTATGGTTCTGCTATGCCTAGGCCAATGTTGACCAATTTGGCTGGTGTTATGCCATGCCAATTAGCTGACCTATAAACAGTCTGGTTATGATGTAGGGTTCAACACATGAGAACCCTTTTGCCCAAAGGCTTAATTTTGTGAGAGTTTCCTCTGAAAAAACCCCTGGTTGTATAAATCAGCATCAACCACTCCTATTGCTCCTGTCACCTCTCACAGTGACAAATTCCCCTCCCCCCTCTGACCTGCGGCGAAGCGAGCCTCCTTCTCCCCGTCGCTGAGGTCGCTGTAGGCGTCGCTCTCCAACCGTCTCTCCATCTCCTGCTCTGCCGTGGACTTGCGTGGGACGGAGACGCCCCCCGGGCCCACCACAGACATGTCCCAGTTCTGCCACTCGATCATGTGTGCCATCCGGCCCTGGGCCATGGACGTAGGCTTGGTCACCTTGTCCTTCATGGAGCGATTCACACCTGGGGGGGGGGGGGGGGGGGGGAGAGAAATGAAGAGGGATGTAGGGATTGATGTGGGTATTGGGGAGGGTTAGAAGGGTGAAAGTGGATTAAGGGAGGGTTGGAGGAATATTAAGGGATTTAGAGAAGGGGTGAATGTGGAGTTTGGGGGAGTTAGGAGACAGGCATCAGGTTGGAGAGAGAGGGGGAAGGAAAGAGATTAGATATGTTATTATTCCACACTTAGGCCTGTCTTATCCTGTCACTATTTAGGGTGGTGCTGATAAGGGCCTCTGGATGAGCAGTTAAACGAACAGCTTAATGAACATGCTTTAGATTCATGGCTAACTGAATAGGGAGGTGACGCTGGTAAGGTAGATGAGATGACGCGTGGAACCGAGGCGGATGATGGAGGACAGGGAGGAGGAAACGGATATGTCTGCTCTGGGAGAGGTGCATCATGGGTTAATTGGGGTGAGATGGCCAGAGGGCAGTGAGTAATGAGAGGTTGGCTTGTTGATATGATAGCTTTTACACCTCTGCTAAGCTGCCTGCGCTGGATAAGCAAAAACCCCACTCCCCCTGCAGTGTCTGTTAAGCCATCCTCAGCTGATGCATATAGCACACTGCGGAAGACACTGTACTTTAGAAATCATGTTCCGCCATGACGGTCTGTATTCTGTCTGCTGTTTACATTATGGCTTTGCTCAGTAATTCATGTGTCCAAGTCAATATTTGATGAGTTAGCAGTTCACTACATTCCAATACACTTTACTGCACATTACAACTGTACAAAACTACTAACTGCACTGCACTGCGCAGTGCACAATGCACATTACACAGTTATACACACTGTCACACACAGACACAAACTCAGACTACACTCAGAGACAGTAGACACATTACACAGACACTAGAGTAGTTCAACGCTGCTTCACAACCACATAACAGACAAACAACTACACCTCCCATTCACCTCTTGTTAACTCAACAAGCCACATAACAATGTATTGTGGGTAGTGTATTTTTTCTATAGGGTTGTCGTTAGGTTTAAGTGTTATTCCATCAATGACTTGGGGGTCAGCCATTGACGAGGATTATCATTATGGAGAGAGGAAGTGAATCAGGGGAACCCACTCTGGGGCCATGTTGGCTCCAGCGCCTGTCCAAGCGGGAGCCAACATGGGGTCAGTTTACCAGTTACAGGACAGACACACACCTGACACACCTGTCAGTGAGGACTTAGCTAGAGCACCGATCCCGTAGTTATTGGAATTGTTCCTCTTCAGACGAGGCAGGATGGACGTGGTGTCTTCCATAGACAGCTAGAGGAACGAGGGAAGAGGATGATAGAGAGATGGAGGAAGAGATGTTTGCCAGAGAAGCACACAGAGTTCAGAGTGAGGTGAGAGGAGAAGTTAGGTAGATATTGGGTTAATACAGCGTCAAAAAGCAACAATGTCATCATTTGACAAAAAATTGACATTTCCCATGGTCGTTGTTGGAACAACTTCCTGCTTGACAGTGCTGACGTGCATTATGGGAAGTGTTGTTTTTTATCTGCAATCATTAAGAACATAGTGCACATTCACACTGGTTGATTGTTTGTTGTGGTCACTACAGTGCACAGTGCTCTACTACATTGAGAGAGAGTTAACGATACGGTATAGAGAGAGTTAGATGGGAGGGGGAGTGAGGGGACGAAGTAGTAGGTTACCTAAGGTGAGTTAAATCAAATAAATCAAAACAAATAGATAGAGAAATAAAGGTAGATGAAGGAATGATGTCACAACACTTACATTGATTCCTTCCCATGAAAATTCTGAACATCCATGCTGAAGGAGAAAAATAGGAGGAGAGAGGGATGGGGAAAGAAGGAGCAGGGAAGAATAAGCGAGGAGGAACAAGAGAGAAGGAGAGAAAGACGTCCACGTGCATGGAGGAAATGGGAGGAGACAAAGAGGAGGAGGAGAGAAGTGATAGTGACAGGGGTAGAGTAGTAGAACCAACATGCAGAATTGGAAAGAAGGATAGGAGAGGGAAAGAGGAAGAAGAAGGCGGAGAGACAAATATTGGGTTTTCCCAGAAAGATAGAGGAGGAGAAGAGTCATAGACCAGAAAGATAGAGAAGGAGAAGAGTCAAAGACCAGAAAGATAGAGGAGAAGAGTCAAAGACCAGAAAGATAGAGGAGGAGAAGAGTCATAGACCAGAAAGATAGAGGAGGAGAAGAGTCAAAGACCAGAAAGATAGAGGAGGAGAAGAGTCAAAGCCCAGAAAGATAGAGGAGGAGAAGAGTCAAAGACCAGAAAGATAGAGGAGGAGAAGAGTCATAGACCAGAAAGATAGAGGAGGAGAAGAGTCAAAGACCAGAAAGAGAGGAGGAGGAGTCAGACCAGAAAGAGAGGAGGAGAGGAGTCAAAGACCAGAAAGAGAGGAGGAGAGGAGTCAAAGACCAGAATGAGAGGAGGAGAGGAGTCAAAGACCAGAAAGAGAGGAGGAGAGGAGTCAAAGACCAGAATGAGAGGAGGAGAGGAGTCAAAGACCAGAAAGAGAGGAGGAGAGGAGTCAAAGACCAGAAAGAGAGGAGAGGAGGCAAAGACCAGAAAGAGGAGGAGAGGAGACAAAGCCCAGAGCGACAGAGAGAAGGGAGGGGTTAAAAGGCAGATCAGTTCCATAGTATAGCAGAGTGAATATGTTATGACAATGATTCTCTCTCTCCTCTCATTTCCTCCTCTGGTTACGTCTGCCACACCAAACACTGAACACTATCCAAGCCAGTTGGGAGGGGCTGATACAGAAGTGTCTGTGTGCAAGCGTGTAGTCGCGCATGTGTGTGTGTATGTGTGAATGCGTGCACACGTTTTTATGTGTGTGTGTGTGTGTGAGTGCGTGCATGCAATCAGTGGGTGTGTGTGTGTACGTGCGTGTGTGTGTGCGTGTGTACGTGCGTCATGCATGCGTGTGTGAGTGTGTATGTGTGTGTGTTGTGACTGATGTAAGCTGGCTGATGGTAGCGGTGTCAGTGTCCTCTCTGGTGAGATCTGTGTCTGCAGACAGACAGACAGACAGACAGACAGACAGACAGACAGAGGGCTGAGGAGGAGGCTATCAGAAGGGGGATGGTGACAGTCTAGATAAGCACCAGCGTCTGTCACACCACCTCTGAGTCTTGTATCAGCTGGATTGTCCCTGACAATACCATAGCCGGGGCCTTAGAACCAGCAGGACGCTACGGGTGCCATGTCTCCTTAGAGATGTGTTCAGTCTCCAGAAAACCTAGCTCTCATGTTCTCTCTATCTGCTACGCTCTGTCTCTGTCTGTCTCTGTCTGTCTATCTGTCTGTCTCTCTCCTCTATCTCTCTCTTCTCTTTCTGTCTGTCTGTCTCTCTCTGTCTCTCTCCTCTCTCTCTCTCTTCTCTTTCTGTCTCTGTCTGTCTCTCTCTGTCTCTCTCCTCTCTCTCTCTCTCTCTCTCTCTCTTCTCTTTCTGTCTCTGTCTGTCTGTCTCTCTCCTCTCTCTCTTCTCTGTCTGTCTCTGTCTGTCTGTCTCTGTCTCTCTCCTCTCTCTCTCTCTCTTCTCTGTCTGTCTCTGTCTGTCTCTCTCCTCGCTCTCTCTCTCTTCTCTGTCTGTCTCTGTCTGTCTCTCTCCTCTCTCTCTCTCTCTCTCTCTCTTCTCTTTCTGTCTCTGTCTGTCTCTCTCTGTCTCTCTCCTCTCTCTCTCTCTTCTCTTTCTGTCTCTGTCTGTCTCTCTCTGTCTCTCTCCTCTCTCTCTCTTTCTCTCTTCTCTTTTATTACATTTTTGAAGGGCAAGTTTGTCAGGAGAAATTCATAATCGATCCACAGTACAGTACATTCGGTGGGAAGATAAATAAATAGTTTTTTTCTAAGGTTTAAATTTAAATGGTTCTCTTTCTCCTGCCACAAAATCATCCAAGAAGTGCTGAAGATCATTTTAGAAACAGTATCTCAAAGGAAGGAGAGGAGAGAAGAGAGGACTTGAAAGGAGAAGTGGAGTGGAAAGGATCTGAGAGGAGAGGAGTGAGGGATGGAGTGAGAGGAGTAGAGGTGGGTGATGCTCCTACTGCTCTACAGTGAGCCAGCACTGAGCCGTGACAGAGAAGCAGCAGACGTCATAGCAACAGCAACGAGCCAACCACATAGGTTGGTCCTCCTTCCAGCTACAGCCGCCATTTTGAGTGTAGTGGAAGTTATCAAACCAACAGCAACATGTGCGCTAGCTAGTTACTCTACAAGCAGACGCAGTAGCACTCATGGCTTCAGTAGTAGAGAGCTAATTTAGTCGTTGGTCACCATCTTGGATCAAGATCCCCATTCGTGGAATAGTGAGCACCCCACTGCTGGAGCCATTGGGAGTCACAGGGTGGCTGAGCTGTGTGAATAAAGAGTGATAGTTAAAGTCCTGAATGTCAGGCTTACCTGTTCCCCATCCTTTACTGGCACTCCATCTGCCGCTAAAAGAGAGAGAGAGAGAGAGAGAGAGAGAGAGAGAGGGGGGGGGGGGGGGGGGGGGGAGAGAGAGGAAGAAGAAGATGAGAGATAAATTGTTAGAATTTGTTTTGGCAATGTAAATGTAAGTTCCTTTACACTGCCAATAGAGAGAGAGGGAGAAACGTGGTCAGGGGGATGAGGTGTGACTTTGGCTGTAACACTAAACAGTCATAAAACAGTAGGCTAATCATTGCTGTCTAACTGTGTTAGAGAGAAGAGCATCACTACACTGACGGACCACAGGACACTGCTACTCAACATGCACCCACAAATACAATAACACACACAAATGGTTTATAAAGAGTCAATAAACAGTTAATAAACAACATCATACATAGAAGGTCCTGTGTAACCTTCCAGGGGGTGACAAAGGGACAGATGGAACCTGAAGTACATTTCCAGAATTCTGTTGGATTAATGCATTTTATTATCCCTCCTCTTTTCCTGGCTGTCCAAATCCTAATTAAAACATAGGTTTAATTAGTGATACAGTGGTGGTAATGCAGTTTAAATACAGCAGCGGTCTCTGGGCGCTCGCTCTCTTTATCAGAGTCTGTGGCCTTGTCTCCCCCCTTTCTCTCTCTCTGGGGGGTTTGCTTCTCTGTGTGTGTACAGTGTGTGTGTGTGTGTGTCTGTGTCTGTGTCTGTGTGTGTGTGTGTGTGTGTGTGTGTGTGTAATGCTGTATCTGTATCAGTAGACTGTGTTGGAGTATTGAATCAAGCCAGTCAGTTATCTGTCTCTCTGAGGCACTAATACACTGAGCTACTTGATGTCCACTGACCCACTGGTAGAGTAATGTCAGCTTTACGGAGAGGACATTCCAACACGTTGCCTCCTCCTGTCTGTCTGCGCTGCCTGACTCCTCTACAAGGCTCTCAGCTGACTGAGAAGCTGTTAGCACCTGCTTCCACCTGCTTGCCGCCACACCATTTACACCTATTCCATCTGGATAAATAAAGAGTTTCAGAGATTAAAGCTGACAGATCTGTCTGACCCCATAATGACCCTGTTAGTGTTTCCTGTAGTGTGAACTTTGACCCCCTGGCCTCCAACCAGTATGAGTGTCTCCCAGGCTGACCTTGTGGGGCTGACACAGCTGAGGTGTGAGACACACAGTTAGTCAGCCAGCCAGACTGGATCTCTCTGTCTCTTTCTCTCTATGGGGCACATAGCGTGTCCCAGGTTTCCTCTGTGTGGCTAAAAGACACAAACACACATAGACATGTACTAATACACACACACATAAACACACATCCCATATGAATACGGCATCACACACACATGCACACATCAGATCAGATAAGCGTCTTATTCTGAGAGGTCATATATTTAAAATCAGGCCAATATCGCTTGAACAACTAGATTTTAGAGCTATTTTTAGTCAGCTACAAGATGCAAGGAAAGCAAACCCACACAACAGCTACTCAACAGACATAATATTTTCTGATGGAGAGCAACTGCTGAAGCAATAACAAGGGAGCACATGACCAGAGCAGAGCGATGAGCCAGCTCTCTCCCCCATACCCAGCTCTCTCCCCCATCCCCAGCTCTCTCCCCCATACCCAGCTCTCTCCCCCATCCCCAGCTCTCTCCTCCATCCCCAGCTCTCTCCCCCATACCCAGCCCAGCTCTCTCCCCCATACCCAGCCCAGCTCCCTCCCCCATCCCCAGCTCTCTCCCCCATCCCCAGCTCTCTCCTCCATAACCCAGCTCTCTCCCCCATACCCAGCCAGCTCTCTCCCCATACCCAGCAGCTCTCCCCCATCCCAGCCCAGCTCTCTCCCCATCCAGCCCAGCTCTCTCCCCATCCCCGCCAGCCTCTCCCCATCCCAGCTCAGTCTCCCCCCACCCAGCTCTCTCCCCATACCCCAGCCCAGCTCTCTCCCCATACCCAGCCAGCTCTCTCCCCATCCCCAGCTCTCTCCCCATCCCAGCTCTCTCCCCCATCCCACCCAGCTCTCTCCTCCATCCCCAGCCACTCTCTCCCCATCCCAGCTCTCTCCCCCATACCCACCAGCTCTCTCCCCCACCCCAGCTCTCTCCCTCCCCAGCTCTCTCCCCATCCCCAGTCTCCCCCCAGCTCTTCCCCATCCAGCCCAGCTCTCTCCCCACCCAGCCCAGCTCCCCTCCCCATACCCAGCCAGCCCCTCCCATCCCCAGCTCTCCCCATACCCAGCTCTCTCCCCCATACCCAGCCCAGCCCTCTCCCCCATCTCCAGCCCAGCTCTCTCCCCCATACCCAGCCCAGCCCTCTCCCCCATCTCCAGCCCAGCTCTCTCCCCCATACCCAGCCCAGCTCTCTCCCCCCATACCCAGCCCAGCTCTCTCCTCCATACCCAGCCCAGCGCTCTCCCCATCCCCAACCCAGCTCTCTCCCCCATACCCAGCTCAGCTCTCTCCCCCATACCCAGCGCTCTCCCCCATACCCAGCCCAGCTCTCTCCCCCATACCCAGCCCGCGCTCTCCCCATCCCCAACCCAGCTCTCTCCCCCATACCCAGCTCAGCGCTCTCCCCCATACCCAGCCCAGCGCTCTCCCCCATACCCAGCCCAGCGCTCTCCCCCATACCCAGCTCAGCGCTCTCCCCCATACCCAGCCCAGCGCTCTCCCCCATACCCAGCCCAGCGCTCTCCCCCATACCCAGCTCAGCTCTCTCCCCCATACCCAGCGCTCTCCCCATCCCCAACCCAGCACTCTACCCCAGCCGCAGCTCCAGCTCTCTACCCCAGCCCCAGCTTCCGCAATAGGGAGGGATCGAGGATATCCCTCACCGGAACCCAGCACTGCTCCTCCGGACCGTACCCGTCCCACGAGGTACTGAAGGCCCCCCACCCGTCGCCTCGAATCCAGGATAGAACGGACAGAGTACGCCGGGGCCCCCTCGATGTCCAGAGGGGACGGAGGAACCTCCCGCACCTCAGACTCCTGGAGCGGAGGAGTGGCGGAGAGAGTTCTGGGCATATTCTGCCCATGGCAAGAACACCGACCACTCCCCCGGCTGGTCCTGGCAGTCGGACCGCAGGAACCTACCCACCTCCTGATTCACCCGTTCCACCTGCCCATTACTCTCGGGATGAAACCCAGAGGTCAGGCTGACCGAGACCCCCAGACGTTCCATGAATGCCTTCCAGACCCTGGATGTAAACTGGGGACCCCGGTCAGACACTATGTCCTCTGGCACCCCTTAGTGCCGGAAGACGTGAGTAAAAAGGGCCTCCACAGTCTGCAGGGCCGTGGGGAGACCGGGCAGAGGAATGAGGTGGCAGGCTTTTGAAAAGTGGTCCACAATGACCAGGATGGTGGTGTTACCCTGAGAGAGGGGAAGATCAGTGAGAAAGTCAATACACAGGTGGGACCATGGCCGTTGTGGAACTGGTAAGGGCTGTAACTTACCCGCTGGGAGGTGCCTAGGTGCCTTACTCTGGGCGCACACCGAGCAGGAGGAGACATACACCTTCACGTCCTTAGCCAAGTTAGGCCACCAGTACTTTCCAGTCAGGCAGCGCACTGTACGACCGATACCTGGGAGACCAGAGAAGGGGGATGTGTGTGCCCAATAGATCAGACGGTCACGGACAAGAGAAGGCACGTACTGCAGCCCAGCTGGACACTGAGGTGGAGATGGCTCTGTGCGTAACGCACGCTCTATGTCCGCGTCCATTGCCCATACTACTGGCACCACAATGCAGGAGGCGGGAGTAAGGGGGTGTTGTCTATGGGCCTCTCCTCTGTGTCGTACAGCCGTGACAGTGCGTCTGCCTTCACATTCTTCGTACCCGGGATGTAAGATAGTGTCAAATCAAACCGGGTGAAGAATAGGGCCCACCTGGCCTGGCGAGGGTTCAGCCTCCTCACTGCCCGGCTGTACTCCAGGTTACGGTGGTCCATCCAGACGAGGAAAGGGTGTTTTGCACCCTCGAGCCAGTGCCTCGGACAACAGCCAACAGCTCCCGATCACCAATGTTGTAGTTCTGCTCCGCCGGGCTGAGCTTCTTGGAGAAGAAGGCACAGGGGTGGCGCTTGGGTGGCATGCCTGAGCGTTGAGATAGGACAGTGCCTATCCCTGCCTCGGACGCATCCACCTCCACTATGAACGGTAATGATGGATCGGGATGGGCCAGTACCCATGAGGTGAACAGAACCCTCAGGTTACTGAAGACCCTGTCAGCCTCAGAAGACCAGCGGAGCCGGGACGGCCCACCCTTCAACAGAGATGTGATGGGAGCTGCGACCTTGCCAAAGCCCCGGATAAACCTCTGATAGTATTTGGCAAATCCAATAAAGCGCTGCACCTCCTTAACCGTGGTTGGAGTCAGCCAATCACGCACGGCTGAAATGCAATCTCCCTCCATCTCCACACCTGAGGTGGTAATGCGGTATCTGAGGAAGGAGACGGACTGTTGGAAAAACAGACACTTTTCTGCCTTGGCAGCCCTTTGCAAACCAGGGACACATGCTCGGCGCGCGTAGCGCAATACACCAGAATGTAATTGATGTAGACCACTACACCGTGACCCAGCATGTCCCGAGACACCTCATTCACAAAGGACTGGAAGACAGATGGAGCATTCATCAAAACGTAAGGCATCACCAGGTATTCGTAATGCCCCGTGGTTGTGCTGAATGCTGAATGCTGTCTTCCACTTGTCCCCCTCTCGGACACGCACCAGGTTGTACGCACTCCAGAGATCAAATTTTGTGAAGAAGCACGCCCCATGCATTGACTCAATCACAGATGGAATGAGGGGTAGAGGATAACTATAACGTATTGTCCCCTTGTTCAGTGCTCGGTAATCAATGCACGGGTGCAGACCTCCGTCTTTCTTCTTCACAAAAAAGAAACTCGAGGAGGCGGGCGAAGTGGAGGGACGTATGAACCCCTGGCGCAGGGACTCGGAGACGTATGTCTCCATCGCCTCCATTTATGCCTGCGACAGGGGATACACATGACTCCTGGGAGGCACAGCGTCTACCCGGAGGTTTATTGTGCAATCCCCCGCCCGATGAGGTGGTAATTTGGTCGCCTGCGTTTTGGAAAACGCGTGCGCCAAATCGAGGTATTCGGGGGGAATGCACACGGTGGAGGTAGTGTCTGGACTTTCCACCGTGGTTGCACATACGGAATCACCTAGACACCTACCCTGACCCTCTCGCGACCACCCCGTGAGAACCCTCTGCGGCCATGAAAAAGTGGGGTTGTGTAGTGCTAACCAGGGAAGACCTAACACAACAGGGAAATCAGGAGACTCAATAATAAAAAAGGTGACTTGCTCTCTATGGGTCTCATGCGTAACCATAGTGACTGGTGCTGTAACTTCCCTAACGAACCCATCATCTCGGGATCCGGGTTGGGAGGGGGTGGACGTCCTCTAGCAGCCATTAGATTGTCCAACCGGATGGCCATGTCCACCAGTTGAATGAAGTACAACGGAGGGTCCCGGCAGGCTAGCTCCCTTCGGACGTCCTGTAGATGATACCGGAAGTGGTCGATGAGCGCCCGCTCGTTCCACCCGGACCCAGCCGCTAGAGTACGAAACTCCAGGGCGGTCCTCGTCCCCTGCCTCAGACCGCGTTGTCCCACTCCAGGGCTTTCCCCCGAGAGGCAGGAGACGAGGGCGGACACCTTCTCCCGCTCCGATGGAGCCGGGCTGATGCTCGAGAGGTATAACTCAGCTGGTCCCGAAAGATCGGGTCCTCTCCTCTCCAGGCGTTGGACAACCTTGAGAATCCGATCCATCGCTTCTCCCAAACTGGCTAGCATCGTCGAATGCTCCCGGACCTGTGCCACGACTCCGGGCATGTGCTCCTCTCCTGCTGACTCCATGTCTTGGGTGTGTGATTCTGTGATGAGGTGATGTTGAAGGAGTCAGGCGCAGGAGGGTAAATCACAGAATGACAGGCTTTATTCCGCAACCACAGAGTTACGCAGTAACGCGTCAAAACACTCCAGTGCGCAAAACAGGCGCACTGGAAAACACAAGGCACACAGGAAAATATCCTGGCGATACAAAATACAAGGAGTTCCACTGAAACAATCACACACAAAGACAAGGGGGCAGAGGGAACACTTATACAGGTACTGATGAGGGGATATGAACCAGGTGTGTGTAATAAACAAGACAAAACAAATGGAAAAATGAGATGAGGAGCGGCAGTGGCTAGAAGGCCGGTGACGACGAACGCAGAAGCATGCCCGAACAAGGAGAGGTGGCAGGTAAGTCGTGACAGGTATTTTCAAATGCCAGGCATGTTACTAATCATGTCATTGCTACATTAGATGGACATACTATAGAGCAAGTCAAATATTTGGGAGTGTGGGTGGATGATAAGCTGCGCTTCACTGTTCATGTGGAGAACTTGATAAGGAAGCTCAAGCTGAGAATAGGTTTTTATTACCGGCATAAGGCTTGTCTTTCACTGGAGGCCAGGAAGGAGCTGGTACGATCTACATTACTGGCGGTTTTAGATTTTAATGATGTTATAGAGTACCAGTCAAAAGTTTGGACACCCCTACTCATTCAAGGGTTTTTCTTTATTTTTACTATTTTCCACATTATATAATAATAGTGAAGACATCAAAACTATGAAATAACACATATGGAATCATGTAGTAACCAATAAAACTGTTAAACAAATCAAAATATATTTTACATTTGAGATTCTTCAAAGTAGCCACCCTTTGCCTTGATGACAGCTTTGCACACTCTTGGCATTCTCTCAACCAGCTTCATGAGGTAGTCACCTGGAATGCATTTCATAGTTTTGATGTCTTCACTATTATTCTACAATGTAGAAAATAGTAAAAATAAAGAAAAACCCATTGAATGAATATGTGTTTCCAAACTTTTGACAGGTACTGTTTACAGTGCCGAGCAAAAGTATTCACCCCCCTTGGCGTTTTTCCTATTTTGTTGCATTACAACCTGTAATTTAAATGGATTTTTATTTGGATTTCATGTAATGGACATACACAAAATAGTCCAAATTGGTGAAGTGAAATGAAAACAATAACTTATTCTAAAAAATAAATAACGGAAAAGTGGTGCGTGCATATGTATTCACCCCCTTTGCTATGAAGCCCCTAAATAAGATCTGGTGCAACCAATTACGTTCTGTGTGCAATCTAAGTGTCACATGATCTGTCACATGATCTCAGTACATATACACCTGTTCTGAAAGGTCCCAGAGTCTGCAACACCACTAAGCAAGGGGCACCACCAAGCAAGCGACACCATGAAGACCAAGGAGCTCTCCAAACAGGTCAGGGACAAAGTTGTGGAGAACAGATCAGGGTTGGGTTATAAAAAAATATCCCAAACTTTGAACATCCCACAGAGAACCGTTAAATCATTATTAAAAAATGGAAAGAATATGGCACCACAACAAACCTGCCAAGAGAGGGCCGCCCACCAAAACTCATGGACAAGGCAAGGAGGGCATTAATCAGAGAGGCAACAAAGAGACCAAAGATAACCCTGAAGGAGCTGCAAAGCTCCACAGCGGCGATTGGAGTATCTGTCCATAGGACCACTTTAAGCTGTACACTCCACAGAGCTGGGCTTTATGGAAGAGTGGCCAGAAAAAAGCCATTGCTTAAAGAAATAAATAAGCAAACACATTTGGTGTTTTTGGTCATCAAGGAAAACGCTATGTCTGGCGCAA